CAGGACTATGGAGACAGCAAGAATAAGACACAGCTTTCTCCAAGATGTTGTATATTGAAAAAATAAATTTGAGTTAGCTGGCAGTCTAGGCAGAAAGCAGAACATTTGCAAAGGTACAGAATATCCTGATACACACAGAAGGTTGAAAGTGGTCAGAGTGCATATATGGGGACCTGAGGTGGGAACTATAAGGGATCATTGTAGGAGTGAGATTGGAGATTAAAGCAGTCACCAGGTAATGAAGGAGTTCAAAATCCATGTTAAATACCTGTTTTGTTGTTGTTGTTGTTTATTGTAGGGGGTTGATTATTCTACAGAGCTTGTGTACTTGCTGGAGAGACAGAGAAAGACAGAGACACAGAAAGCAAGAAAACAACCCTCAGGGGACATGGCCACAGCACAATCCCTCCTGCATTCTCCTGTACGGATTTTGGAGAGAAAGACAGAGACACAGAAAGCAAGAAAACAACCCTCAGGGGACATGGCCACAGCACAATCCCTCCTTCTGCATTCTCCTGTATGGATTTTGGGCCCACACGTACATACACCTGGTGTGAGTTTCAAGTCGTTGGGTTCCATAGTTTAACCACAATTGACCACATGGAAGTCCAGAGCCTTACCCACTACACCATCTGCTGGCCCCTTTGTTCAACATCTTTTAATCCTCAGCAGCATGAGAAGGCAGGAATGGAAACTGAAATGACTGTGTTTTCGAAAGATTAGCTCCGTAAGTGAATGGGTACTATAGGGAGGGGTTATTTTGGAAGACTGGAAAACTGTGGCTGTAAACCAACGTGAATAAAACGCACCCTAGAACTTAGATCATTGTACTGATGATGAGAAAAAGGATGTCAAGAAATTGAGCATGAGTTAACATCTAAAATGCTGTGTGAGTCACTGAGGATCTGAAACCAAATTAAATACAATATGTCTCCTGAAGGAACTTACAGTTGGGTTTTAAACACACCTACTGACAAAAGAAATGCTAAGAGTTCTGTGAGTCTGTGTGTTAAAATTTAAGTCCTTAACTGTTTGGTATCTATAATAAAACTAGTAGCACTGAACATCTTATAAGAATAATAATCCGTCTTGTTATTAAAATGTGTCAGAACTTTCCATATACACCAAGATACAGGTAGAAACAAAAAAAAAAAAGAAAATTCTCAAAATCATCAAGGGTGGTAATTGGTAATTGTAACCCTCTTGCACCATCGTGCAACTCATTCCTTGAATGGCAGTGAGGCGAGGGAAGAATGGTTTTAATGCAGGCTGAGAGCAACTGTAATAAACAAATCTAGCATTTACTTTCTTATTGCCTCCAAGCAAAATAACATCTGGTAAATGCTTCCTCTTTATGCCTTCTTTTTTCTAAAAGGTAAAGGTGGAAAAATGAATCATCATTTCTTCTCTCTTTCCCATAAGAAATAATGTCTTTTATGTTTATTCGTTTTAGTTTGCTACAGATCATGTGGACTTTAAGGAGAGTGGCAGAAAGAGAGGGGAAAGTGATAAAGCACCCCCTGTGGAGATGGCTACACCCCAATTCCCCCTCCTCCATTTTTCCCTCAGGATTTTGGGCATGAACATACATGAGCCTGCCATGTTTTCAAGTTACTGAGTCCAGGATTTGAACTGCACAGTCAGCAGGTGGGATCCACCTGCCTTAACCTCCATACCACCTGCTCGCCAAATGACTGTCTTTCATAAATTAAGAATTATGCTAGAAGATAGGGACCCAAGACCATGGTCTTGCTGTCATAGAGTTTTCAGTAAACAGGGGAAGACCAGCAATTAGCAAGGGACACAATGACATAGAATGCTGCATCTGTGACTGCAGGAGGCATGCAATACTGTAAAAACCCCTAAGAAACAGATCCGACTAGCTAAAAAAACTGAAGACTGAATAACTGTTCATAATAATCAGTTAGGGGCCAGCAGGTGGTGTGGTGGTTAAGGGCACTGAATTTTCACATGGCCAAGCATGGTTCAAGTCCCAGACCTGGTGGCTTGCTTTCTCACTTTCCCTTTCTCTCTCTCTCTGGTCAAATTGAAAAATAATACCAGTAGAATGAATAAATAATTCTTTAAAAAAATAACAGTCAGTTAAGACTTCGTCTCATTATTCCAGGAAAGAATAGTCTCGGCCAAGGTAAAGAAAGTATCGATTACAAAGAAGTGCTAGAATTTATTTGAATAAAGGTAATTATAAGACTGATCAACATAACTGTATTACATAATTGCCATGAAAGACTAAAAGAGGGTAGTTCAAATGTTCCTTTAGGTTTTGAACAGCTGACATGTGGGCTGAGACCACGGCAGGAACACATCCTGACATACTGCCACACTGTAAAGCAGGTAACATGGACGTCTCCTGGGAATTACCCAGAGAGGAGAATGGAGAAGAGATTGTGGTGTGGCCATCCCACCCTGGGGGGTAGAGATTTCTCACTTTTCCTGTCTCCAGCTTTCTCTGTCTCTCCAACAAGCACACATACCCTACAGAAAAAAAAAATGACAAAAGAAAACTCTCTCCAAAAATATTAGAAATTAAAAAAAGTAATCTTGGCCTTAGGACTTCAGTATAAAATAAATTTTGGAACTAAATCATTTTAAAAGGGGGAGAGGAAGCCATTTACAAAAGACAATCACAATCTTCAAAGTCAAACTTTTAGAAAAAAATGGAAATCCTTCTAGACTCTACCAGCAAGCAGTACCTAGAAACAGCATCATTGAACCTATACTTATTCTCTCTCTAACTCTCTCCCTCTCTCTCTCTTTCTCACACACACACACACACACACACACACACGACAAGGCAAATGACTCACTTCTGATTGGTCTTACACTTTTTATGTGATGAAAGCATATTAATAAGAATAGTAATTCAGCTTCTAAAATGAAAAGCCTTATGACTACAACTAAAGGCTGATAAAGGGGGACTACTGATGTCTTAAATTTCTATCAAATGGCACCAGGAAAAACTAGATCAAACTCACCATTGATTTTTTTTTTTATATAAAACACAGTCTTGTGAAGAATCAGAGCAAACATTTATCTTGATTCTAAGGAAAGAAAAGTTGTCCTTTACTATGTAACTAATACGATTTTGACCTCATGAATGCTGCAAACTTTGCAACAGATTGGGTAGTGTCCTTTTTTCCTTTATCCAGTATGAATTTCAGTATTGAATTTGAGAACCACTTGTATCAATTATGTAGTGCAAAATGGCATCTGAACTTTATCTTAGCTTTGTGTTTCTATCTTACCCATATTATCTATTCATCTTGTCTTATGTATTTGCTGGTATTCTGATGTTTTAGATATTTTTCTCTAAGTCAGCCTCCAGCCTTAATTTTGATCAAAGCAGTATTCAAAGAAATGAAAAAAGAAATAAAAACAAAGTCATCAAAAGTGATTAGGTATCTCTTTGGGAATTTATAAAGTCAATTGTTAATGAATACTATAAATCACAGCACGCCACAAGGCCAGAGTTAAGATTTCTTTCTTAATCAGAAAGTTCCTAACTGAATTACACTAGAAATGCTTCCCTTAGGAACACAGCAGCTGGGGCCACAACAGCGAATGAGACACATGATTTCTTCCCCAAATCTTGCAGATATGCTAGAATAAAAACAAACACAAAATCCCCAAACAAGAAATTATATTAACAAGTACTTTGGGAAAGACGCTACCTAGAAACACCAAGTAAAGCCAACAGAATAAAAGAAGTCTGTGTATGAGTGTGTATATGTGTGTGTGTGTGTGTGTGTGTGTATTTGTGTGTGTAGACCTAGAAATGGCATTTAGAATGAGCCTTGTCAATGATCAGGAGATAGCCAGTCAACAGTGTTAGGAGTAAGAATATTTCAGTCAGAAGAAAAAGGGTAAGAATGACCAAGATCTCCAGTGCATTTCTAAAATTACAGTTAACAATGATGGTGAAAGAGAAACGTGGAACTTACACACAAGCCCTGGCTTCATTTTTCAGCTCTTGTGTGCAGACATGTCATCTATGTCCTGAAGCGTCACGTGTCTGAGTATATCTGTAGTCTTACAGTCAAATACTTAAAACCATTTCTTCCCTTATGAAGCAGATCTCCATGCCTAATGCCTTGCTTATTTATTTGTTTCTACAGTCAGTTAACTGTCTGGCCAGTAACCATCTGAATTGGATGAGAAATAAAAAAAAAAAAAAAAAAAAAAAAACAACAACAAAAAGAACTAAAGACCTGATTTTACCCTAAGAACCATACAGGAATTTCCGAGCATGCACATTTTATATATATTTAGTAAATCCAATATACCCATATGGGGAAATGTGGATATTGATTGTCACGATTCCTAAGTGTGAGAATTTTATTTCATTTTTCAAACTCTGTCCAATGGAAGACAGCTGGCCAAACATTGAAGCTCATAAGTTCCAATTTGAGCTAAATAAACAAACATAAAAGAATCTGTCCCAAATATTATAAAGTAGAACCATCTTCTTCAATATGATCTCCAGTTTGAAAGAGTATTTCTCTAAAAACGTTCTATCGCCTGGATAATGCATTTAACTTTGTTTTGTTTACGTCATTTGGAGTTATTTCTGTTCTTCAAAGTAGCACCTAAATTGGGTTCATGTAATTCTAAATGATTCTCCCTATTTAGGAGAAGGGCAGAAAGGTAGAGATTTTGCAGAGAGGCACATCTGGCCATGTTTTCCCAGGTTTCCACAGACAGGCTAGAATACACCAGCTTACCTATTTTGCAGAAGTAAGATATCAACTTAATACATATTTTCTTCTCTTCGCTGCTTCTGCTAGTACTTAAGAGACATCAGTTTCACATCTTACAAAGTGCTATCAATGAAGACTTTACAAGAGCATTTCAGAGGACTTGGGGGAATGTGAGAGTGGGGACCAGGTAAGTACCTATAATGTTTATTAACCTCAGAAGAGAGCCCTACGAACCACAGATGTTTGAAGAGAGTCAACTCGATCATTGCAAGGTCTTCCTACCTGCCTCTTTGGAAATCTGCGTGAAGGATTCCACACCTTTTTCTCCATAACTTCCTTCGGATGCGAGAGTAGACACGTAATTCCAGCCTAGCGCCTTTACAATGTCTACCATGGCCTGGGCTTGGAAGGAATCGGGTGGGACCACGCGAGAGAAGAAGTCATAGCGCCGGTCGTCACTGAGCTCGGGAGCCGTCGACGCGTAACTAATCTGAGGGATCTGAAAAGACAAGAAAGCACCACGTGAGAGCACACCGTCAGGGGGTGAGAGACTCATTTCAGTCACGACCACTTACTCACAAGACAGGGCTGGGGCTGAAAAGGGATGTGAGTTCTGCCAAACGCCACCGTGTCATTTTAGACCACCGACATGCTGTCATCTGCGTCTTAGTGACACAAAAGTTTAGCTTTTGTACCTGGTTCTTTTATGTATTTCCTCTCGGGAAAAGGGAAGGAGGATGGTGTGGGAATGACAAAGTCAGGGTTCTGCGTGAGTAGGGGAAAGGATTCAGAACCATTGTACCAAATATTGTATCTTATATGTTCCTTCTTATAAACGAAAGAAAGAAAGAAAGAAAGAAAGAAAGAAAGAAAGAAAGAAAGAAAGAAAGAAAGAAAAGAAAGAAAGAAAGAAAGAAAAAAAGAAAAGAAAAGAAAAGAAAAGAAAAGAAAAGAAAAGAAAAGAAAAGAAAAGAAAAGAAAAGAAAAGAAAAGAAAAGAAAAGAAAAGAAAAGAAAAGAAAAGAAAAGAAAAGAAAAGAACGAACAAAAGAACGAAAGAAAGGAGAGGAGAGGCGAGGCGAGACGAGGCGAGGAGAGGCGAGGAAAGGAGAGGAGAGTAAAGGAAAGGAAGAAGGAAAGAAGGAAGGACAGAAAGACGCAACAGCCTAACTGGGATGTGTGGCGAGACTGGTTTAGTTGCCGAAGCCAGTGAACATGGATGAATATCATTAGCTGTGTAAACACTCATTGGTTTCTGGTGAACTGCAAGGAAATATCCAAGTGAGCTGTATATGTTATCTAATGTATTCTTTTTTTTTTTTAATTTTGCTTTTTTCTTTTCTAGGTTCTAATATATTCATCAAAGGAACAAGTAGCTGAGTAATACCCTTAGTCTCAGGTGAGGGGGTGCCCTACCCCAAGGCCTTCGCCACAGTGGTCCTTGCACCCTGAAGCATGGTCCTCAAAACTTTCTAAATTCTCGTTTTGGCTCTAGGACAGAGTTAAGAGTGCTGTCTGAGTGGAGCCTGAATCTTAAATCTTTTCTCTTTAGAGCACTCTTTGACCTTCCACCTCACATGGCAGGGTTAGACAGGCCAACAAGCTCCAGAAATTGTGCCTATGGGAATCATCCCAAGGCCACAGTCAGTTCCTGAACAACAATCAAATTACTTCCCTTAGGCAGTGTAATGTTTTTTCTTAGGCTCATGTGAGGGCTATCTGAGTATTCCACTGATTTTAGTAAATCAAATTCCATACATTGAAAGAGCTGCAAAAATCTTCTAAAGGTTTTATTTGCATCACCTTACATAACCCTCACCAAATATTCTATACTCTACTACTGTTATAAACTTGCTTACAAAAAAGGACCTGGAGCCTTGGAAGCAGCATAGGTAACAAAGTCATAAAATAGAGATCACCACTCAAACCTGAAACTGCCCAGTGCCTTCATGCAAACCTCCAATTATGATGTTCGCTGAGCTACTACTAAAACATTTTAATAGTAAGGATAAAACTTGGAAGGCCCGTAGGTTGCTTGAGTCCAAGCTGACTTGTGCCCACAGCACTGATGACATAGCCACTGAAAGTTATTTTACTGGTTACTCTCAGATCGTTGTTCAAACATTTCATTTAATTGCCCTGGTAAAGCTTAAACAAATTTTTTTAAAAGAGATTTTTTGCTATGGGGTACATGTACTCACTGGAGAGACAGAGAGACAGAGACAGAGAGACAGAACGCTAGAAAGCACCCCTTCAGGGAGGAAGCCATCCCACAATCCCTTCTTCCTCTAAACTCCTCTGGGATTTTGGGCATGCATGCACATGTATCCGACATAAGTTTGAAGCCACTGAGTCTGGGCCTTTAACCGTAACCATTAAACCAATTGCTGGTCCCAAACAAATAATTTAATAGAATGCATTATCTATTTGTCCTGTATAGTTTGAAGGCTATACATTTTAGATAAAGAAAATATAAACTGAATAAAGGTTTTGGGCAAAAATGAAACAAAATAAAGGGAAGGATGGAGTAAAGAGAAAGAATGTTTTCCCTCCGAGAAGTAAAAAGAGAAGCTGCCAAGCATGTCACTACATTTCCATACATTTCAGCTGGTGGGAATGTAAAACCTTCATGCTGCTGCACAGTTGCCTTCCCTGCCAAAATCCCTTCCCACCATCGAGAGGGTGCTAACAAAGACACATGCAGCCCTCTTTCTGAATTTGCATTGATGCAACTGCTGTAAAACCACAGCATGGTGAAATGTGCCGAAGCAAATGCATTTTCTAAACTGTGCCCCAATGTTTAGTAATGAAAATCGTGGTGAAACACATTTCTTTTCTCATTACCATACAGCTTTTGCAAACAATTGCTATCTATGGTCTATCCCTTCCAGTGTAAATAAGAAATATCTCCTGCCTGAAAACCCGCATTTCCCTTTAGGATCAGGCGCCTGTCTTCCAACCATTGATACTTATTTTGATGCTCTGCATAAAATGGGGCTAGAATAAAGAATGAAAGACTAAATGGATTTCATTTCTGTGATAAAAAGATTGCTTTTTAGGGATATCCCTTCTAGCATTAAGCGTCGAAGGACTGGGAGAATTTATGTAACCTATGAAATTGGATGATACATATTTCCTTAGCTATCATGCTACATGCTTTGCTATTTGTGTTGAAATTCATATTTAAGCCTATAGAGGAAATATTTTGAGGTGTACGCTGTAACTGCTACGTAGGGCTAATGAAATGGTATTAGTCAACTTTAGTAATCAACTTCCACACTCCCCTTGATTACCTAGTTAAATTTCCTCTTTCTGCTGTTGAAAATCCTCCTTTCTTGCCAGTCTTCTATGGAAAAGGAGAATTGATCTTTATTTTCTTTTTCTTTTTTTATAGTACTATCATATGGGCAGGAGATATATTAGTGGTATACAAGATTCTCAGGTTAACACAAAATTCCACACACACACAAAAAATTTTTTAGAGAGATTTTCGCTATAGGGTGCATGCACTTGTCAGCGAGACACAGAGAAACAGAAAGGAATAAATCACTTCCTAGGGAGAATGACTGTGCTGCAATACCTTCTTCTCCATTCTCTCCTCAGGATCTTGGGCACACACGCACGTGCACCCAGCATGAGTTTCAGGTCTCTAGTTCCAGGACCCGAACTGTCAACTACAAGGGAGTCCAGCAAAGTAACTATTACGCCATCTATTGGTCTCAGAATTCCATAATATTTTAAGGTCATGAAAGCATTGGCAAAGAAAGTCCTTTGATACTGTCCTCTATAGTTTACGTAACTGGTCTGTGGATTTCAATATTATGCGCTATTCTCAACTCAAAAGACTTAGTTTGCTTTTCCCGGCAAATGAACACCAAAGAAGCACTGATCAAAAATGTTATGGTTATGATCTTTTGAAAAAAAAGAAGTTAGTGGAATAATACTTTAGCTATGTAAGACTAGATATCCAATCTATTCTTAGGCCTTCTTTCTCTAATTTAGAAAACTATTGGGGGAACCAGCAGATGGCATACATCGCTGGTCTCCCACACAGTTGATCACGGTTTGAGCCCCAGAACCAGTGATTTAAAACTCACCCTGGGCACGTGTGCATGCCCAAAATCCTTTGAGGAGAATAGAGGAGAAGGGATTACAACGTGGTCAACCCCCTGTTGGGGGTTACTTCTCATTTTCTCTCTGTGTCTCTCTGTCTCCTGCATTTCCCTATAGCAAACATCTCTCCCAAAAAAAACAAAGAAAACTACTGGGTTGTAGGAAAAGTGATGATGCATTTTTTGCATAGAAAAACAGAGAAAAGGGAACCAGCAGTTAGTGTAATGGCTATGTCGCTGGAATCCCACATAGTTGACTGCGGTTCGCATCCCGGACCTGGTGGCTTAAAACTCACGCCGGGCACATGTGCGTGCATGCCTAAGATCCCAAGAGGAGAATGGAGGAGAAGGGATTGCGGCGTGGCCATCTCCCCTGGGGGGGTGATTTCTCGCTTTCTGTCTCTATGTCTCTCTCTGTCTGGCGAGCGCACGCGCCCTATAGCGAAAACCTCTCCAAAAAAAAAAAAAGAAAAACAGAGAAAATGCACATTTTTCTTCCAACTCAATAAAAAACCTTTCATTTTTATCATGGGACTAAATTGTCATATTTCTATTCTTATCTCTTCATAAACATTTGTCTATCATGCAGAAACTTATTTTTAATGTGTACCAAACAGCACTAATAACACCTACTCTGTACAGAATGAGTTTATGCATTTTTCTTAAAAACATTAACAACATTGGGGCCGACAGATAGCATGCTGGTTAAGGGCACTGGATTCCCACTTGGCAGACTGCTGTTTGAATTCAGGAACTGGGGGCTTGCTTTCTCACTTCTCTCTCTCTCTCTCTGTCCCTCTCTAGTCAAATTTAAATAAATAAATAAAGTTGAATAAAATAGTTCTTTTAAAAATTAACAATATATCATGAAAAATATAGACAAGTAAAGTTAAGAATATAAATTAATTTTAATGCCTTGATCCCTGTTTAAATTTTGCCTATCTCTTCACTTTTTGTGTGTATTTATCTGGGTATGCACATATCAACTATTCACTATTAAAGTATGAATCTTAGTCTGTTTTGCCTTTCTCCCTTCTTTCTTCTGATCATTCTCTGTCTCTCTTTCTGGCGGCAAAATATCCAGCTGTGTGGATAGTTAACCTAACCAAAACTAATCTTTTTTATTCTTTAAACCTTTTCAAGTTTTGCTATCATTAGAAGTCAAAACAAAACCCTCACAATTAATTTAATTCTGTGTATACATTTATATTTCCTTAAAATACTGGTCATATCCTTTCCTCTCGTGACAGAAATATTTGAAGATTACATTTAAATCTTTCTCTACATGAAAGTTCTTTTGGGTTTTTATATAAGTTAAAACAAAACTCTGTATTTTTCCTCCTAAATGATTAACACTCCCTGTTCCAGCATGATTTATGAAATAATTA